AATTGCAGCGGAATAGCTGCGCTTGATTGTGTTGGCATAACAAAAATGAAAAATAGTGGAAATAAGCAAACGATAATTTACAAGGCGTCTTAGCGCAGTGCATGGGCAACTGGCTGAGTCAGTGGGATCGTCGGTTCGAATCCTACTGAAAGAAGTCTGATGAGGAAATGTGGTGATTTCAGAAATAGCTATCACTTCTACCATTTTTTCAAATTGTTGTTGCTTTTTCCACAATAAATTTTTCATTTAAAAATGGCCTCGAGCTCATTATAAAATTGTTGAAAAAAAAATATATATATAAAAATCGAGAAAGACTTCAAGTATTCCGTTTTGTAGCGTATTACATATTTTCCGCGCTAACCAATAGAATTTCCAACTCAAAATATTTTTTTTTCGCTCCATCCTAATGCATATTGATGTTCACGAAATGCATCCGTATGGAGTTATAAATCATTATATTTAGAAGGAGCCGCTCACGGGGGGCTTAAGCCATCATATTTTAGCTGCAACTATAAAGCTTTACTTGTTATCTGGCCGAGTGACCATCCGCCAAAAAAAGTGAGAGCTCCTTGAGTGATGAATGGTTTTCATAGGTTTCTGCCGGATATCGTCCCAATCTCATTTATTGTTCTTCTTTTCGCTTTCTTCTCTTTTCATTTTTAAAATCAAATATTTCTTCTTTTTGTTCCGAACTACTAAGAACTAAATCAAACGTAGATTGCAAAGGAGATTTTGAACGTTCGGTACGACTTACTGCCTTATGATATAATCATATAACTCGCGTCTATATATAGCCATGTGTATTAATTCAATATTTACTTTATACTATCAATTTAACAGAATTAAAATTTTCAAATAGGCTTCAAAAATATTTTCGACTGTAAAGTTTCTTAACCGTTTCTTAACCTTAGTTTGAGACCCGTATTGTAATACTATTTCATTTATTTTATTAATTTAATTGAATACAAGTTTTCAAACAGGTGGAAACCCTCCTCGAAAATATTTTTGGCAGTAAACATTCCTAAACTTGTTTAGTTTGATACCCACATTGCAATATTTAATTTGACTTATCAATTAAATCAAATTAAAATTTTCAAACAGGTGGCGACCTTCCACAAAAGGATTTTCGACTGTAAGCCTTCTTAGACAGCATTCTTTTGACAGCTGTATTACAATATTTACTTGATCTTATCAATTTACTTAAACTGCAATTTAAAAATAGGTGGCAACTCACTAATTATCTTTTTACTATGACTTAAGTTAGATCTTTAGCAATGCACTGGTTAAAAGTGTATTCAATTCCAGGCATTCGTTTTTGAGTGATGCGCGTACAAACATACAGACGGACAAAAATTCTAAAAATTTTTTATATAGCTTCTGTCGGTCTAATAAAGAGCCTCATATAAATAATTCTTTAATATCCATAATGTACAGACATCTGCCTGTTACAATCTCTCTTGGCAATAGCTTAATATACTATATAATTTAAGCTAATTCAACGTTATTCAAAGTTATTTTGTTTTCGGATATAAATTCAACTAATTTATTCCTCCTAAAAGCAGACTACTATAATTAAAAGGTTATCGACCTTTACACTGGGGCGCTTGAGGCTTGCAATCTAAGTTGATATGCCGAAAACCTCAATGGTTCTTAGGATGTAATGTATGTATGTAATGTACGTAAGTAAGAGTTGGCCCGTACTTAAAAAGACGAAATTTCAAACGGATTTTTCAGAGCAAAGTGGCTGTAATACCAAAATTACAAAGTCGAGAGTTTAAGAGTTCAGTAACACATGGAGATCATACGCAGTTATACTCAACGGCGAAGGCATGTACTAGTTTTGTAAAAAGAGCGCGCTAACGAGTTATAGCCCCAAAGAAATGAGTGTATATACATACATTTAAGCAGCAACAAACCGCTAGCGCCACATGCGTTTAACCACGCACACACCAACAATTTTATGTGCTGTTATGGTGTTTTTTGTTGTTGCTGAAATGATAGCAGAACACACACTTCAATTCAATTAACTTGCCCATTGTTGTGTTTATTAAATTTTGAAGCATGAAGTTTTCCAAAAGTATAAAAGCAACGGCCACCCAATCGAAAGGCATCAATCAGCTAACAACGCTCATAAGTCAAAAATCGTTCTTTCTTACGAAATCGAAAAATAAAAAAAAAAATTAACAAAATGTACAAATTGGTAAGTTACAAACTACATAGGATTACTACAACCGTGCATTTTTGCGAAATATTTTAACTTTTTTTTTCTCCCCATTAACAGTTTGTCCTTGCTGCTCTTTTCGCCGTTGCCGCTGCTGCTCCCAGCCACTTGGTCGAAAGCCCACTTGTCTACTCCGCACCAGCAGCTGTTGCCTATCAGGAGAATGTTTTGGCCAAAGTTGGTTCGGTGGTGAAGAGCATCCCAACTGCCGTCTCCCATCAAAGCCAATCGATCGTTCACAGCTCTGCCCATGTTGTGGAGGATGTTGTTGCGCCTGTTGTGAAGACCAGCTACGTTTCAGCTCCAGTGGTGAAGACCATTCACTCTGCGCCTTTGGCATACACCTCTTATGCCGCTGCTGCCCCAGTTGTGCACAGCTATGCTGCAGCTGCTCCCATCGTAAAATCGTACGCCGCCTCTCCAGTTGTGCACAGCTATGGTGCTCCATTGGTTTATGATGCTCACTACTCATCCTGGTAAACGACTAACAAGGAGAACAGAAATGGACAAAAGATTTTGTACTTGGAATGTGATATAACGAATAACTTATTTTTGTTTTCATAGAAAAGAACGTTGTTGACTATAAAATTAACGATTTGTTAAATAAATTTTGTTTATTTATGAAACCAAAAGATCTTTTTCTTTAGAAAATTGTAATAAGGAGTATATATACAGGCGTATCGGTACCTTAATTCACAAAGGCCCTAACCAACACTTTTTTTTTCGAAATTGCGGTTTTCGCAGATTTTGGTAGGATATATTAAAATATACTTTCAATAAAAATTTTAAGGTCTTAGTATCAAAATTTACGGAGTTACATGCTATTTTTTTTAAGTCATACCTGTTTTTGATACATTTTGTATAATGCTTTTTGCTTCACTTGTAAAATTAAAAATTTGTTGGTTAGGTTCTTGGAGACTCGCGGTTGACGGCTGTGGACCAGCATTTTTGTGAAAAAAGAAATAAGTTTTTTCCATTGATTAATTCTGTTTTATTGAATTTGAATTTAAAAATCGATTATTTGTTACGAAAAAAATGTCCAGCTTTTATAGATGTGTGTAGTTGTTGACATTAAAAGTGAAGTCAATGGGTTTACCACATTAGGCCAGCTTATGGGTATATATTTTCTTACACTTTTATCCAACAAGGCAATGAAATAAATATTTGGCGTTTACACTTTTGCTAAGAGTTTGGCTGAGCTTTTCCACCTTTTTTTTTGTGTTGCGCGACTTGTTGGACCTACAACAAAAGCCTCTACGAAAAACTTGTTCAGTTACAGTCGGGGGTTTGTTATTATCTGCCTTTAGAATACAACATTTTAAATTTTTAAATGTCAAACTTAGATCCCACGGAGAAGCAGTACGGACTCGACTATTTGTAAGGCCACTGCATGCGTATTCCGACGTGGTAAATTCTCGCGGGGTCGCACTTGATAAAACCTTAGTTGTAGAAGCTTTATCGCCTGAAATTCCACCCGATTTTCACGCATGGTTCACGTTTAGATAAATTCAATATGCTTTCTTTTCTCTCGACCCCAGGATCAGGGTTTTTTTCTGGGGTCAATTTTGGGATGTTCCCGTTATTTTTTTTTGTTCAAAACACATCAGCCCCTAAAGAAATGTAAAAGCGAATGTTGGCCAACAGGAACAACGCTGGAGCTTTTACTAAGAAAGTTAAGCGACTTACGAAAGATTTCTGGACCAGCGAGAACTTCTGTACGAATAACCACGGCGACTTAGTGACCGACGGCGAGGCGATACTTTTCCACAAATCGAAGTATCTTCGGTCATCACACAAACAGTCAGCGGACGTGCGTCTCGACACTCACGTCACTGCCCGCAATTAAAAAAAATGTTGAGTGTAATGATTGTTAGTCGTTTAAACTTTAAGACCCATCTGTAGTATGTAGTTGAGAAAGCATCGAATGTACAGACACGCTTACATAGAATGATGCCATATATCGACGGTCCTAAATATAACAGAAGGGTTTTGCTTAGTGGAGTGTTCCAATTTGGGCTGAAGCAATGAATATAAAATATTATGCGAAAATACTCACATTTATGTATCAACTAAGTGCCCTAAGGACTATTTTCGGATTTCGAACAAATCTGATGAAGCATCCCTCGTAATTGCCGGTCTGATTCTAGTAGATATTTTGGCAAACGAGATACAAAAAGTGTATGAGCGTGTAGAGAAAGAAGTCACAGAGCAAGAGAGATGTTGCTCTATCCAAATCTGGCTAAAGCGTTTCGACGAATCGGCAAAGAAGGACTCACGGGCTCATTCCAAGAGCTTACGGAGACTAAAACTACTACTTAACACAGTTTCTTTTGGGACATGGCCCTATCAAGAGTATCTAAAAATATTGATGGCCCTATTTTATATGGCCAATGGTGTCTGGTTGCTGGTCGATTGATTTCTTAGGTAATGTTTTGATGTCGGATGAAGCCCATTTCCAAGCAAAACTGTAGATTGTGGGGCTCTGAAAATTCAAGGGCAATACAGCAGCATCAGTCACACCCATGCACTGTTTGGTGCTGTGCTATGGCTGAAAAAGTTATCGGCCCATATTTCTTCGAGAATGAGGATGAAACGCCAGAAACGATTTCTGGGGCTTCTAACAGAACAATGATTGGCAACTTTTTGTTGCGGCCAACGGCAGAGCAGCACCTTCTGAAAGCTAACAAATACTAGCAGTTTGAACCAATAAAATATAATTATTGCTTTCAAATAACATTATCATTTTCGAACGGTTTCCGGATACGAAAATTAATGAAAATTTAAGTCGTTTTCTGTTCGGTTCCGGGTAGGAAAATCGCAGTTTTTTGAATACTTTAGGATACCTAAATGAACGAAGATTTTAGTAGTTTTCCGTTCGTTTTCGGATACGTAAAATTGTATGAGGCCGCACTGTCAACAAAATTGACGTATCTCTGCTCGTTGGGAAGTCATTGTTTTTGCATCGCCGTTCATATTGACGTGACCATTATCCCTGACTGCTGGGCATTGTGCAATGAACAAGTAATATAATGAAAATTTATTTAACAAAAAAAGGAGGAATCGTTCTTTTTTTTATCGGAAAGTTGGTACTTTCAAGGGTAGTCCCATACTACATACTTTGTTTTAGTTCCGATCATTGGACCATGATGAAATTAGCGGTACTCCTAAATTTTTATTTGAGCATTGAGGTCGGTTGTAGTTTTTGCTTAAAAATTACTCGTTTTTCAAAAATTTTGTTAAAAAGATACTTAAAGAAGTAACTTTTTAAAATTGGGTAATGGTGTAAGAGTAGCGAAAAACTTCACAGTGCTTTTACTCTTTAATCTGCTGTAAAAAATGTTTGTATGTGTATCGACTAAACTCGGACATATCGACATCTTTTTTACCTATCTGCTTCACGTGTAATGCTCCATTGTTAGAATGGACTGAAGTCGCTGGCCTCAGAAGTAGTCGTAACTTCTACCAACTCTATTTAAATAGGCTGCCATCAGAGCACAAATAAAGATCAAGAAAAACAACAAAACCATACGAGATCCGTTAACGTACACCCATGCAAAGCAATACAGGAACAAAGGCAAATTTAATAAAACACAAATCAGTTCAATAAAGCATTAAGTTCTATTTTTATTATATTTCTTATTATTTACTTACTTGAATGTATGTATGTAACTCTGTGTATTTTCCTATGATCGACAGCGTCACAAAAACAAACTGCAAAGGCTAGACGTGTGAGGCTGCGGGTTATTGCCTGTCGCGACTTCGGCCAAATTGGCTAACGCCCGTGGCTGTGGCTGTGGCTGGTGAGCGTGTTGCTGCAGCGCCATGAAAACAAGAGTAAATAAGTAAGTTCACCTTTTTGGTCTAATACATTAATTGTTTGAAAATCGAATCGTTTTTTCATTGCAACTCCAAGTCTTAATTGCTTTCAGCTCCCGCTAAGCGATGTGCGAGAGAGCGCACACCTGTGCTGTTTAGGTCGGAGTATGTCTGAGTAATCGCCCGCACAATACGTGCATACATACATACATATTTACATAGGCATGTGTACGTATTGCTTGTGCCTAACCATAGACAAAGGCATCGCTGTCGGTGGCGTATGCGTCGTGTATGACTTGCACGTTTCACCAGATGTTTATGGCATTTTTGTTGCTATTATGATTACTGAATTGCTTCTAGTGACTTTGCCATTGTAATTTCTCATAAAATTTCGTAGCATGAACTCTTAAGAGTATAAAAGCAACTTAAACTCAACTGAAAGCCATCAATCAGCTAACAACGCTCATAAGTCAAAAATCGTTCTTTCTTACGAAATCGAAAAATAAAAAAAAAATTAACAAAATGTACAAATTGGTAAGTTAAAAGCGAGGATTAGTACAACCGTGCATTTTTTTCGGAATACTTTAACTTATTTTCTCCCCATTAACAGTTTGTCCTTGCTGCTCTCTTCGCCGTTGCCGCTGCTGCTCCCAGTCACTTGGTGGAAAGCCCACTTGTCTACTCCGCACCAGCAGCTGTTGCTTATCAGGAGAATGTTTTGGCCAAAGTTGGTTCGGTGGTGAAGAGCATCCCAACTGCCGTCTCTCATCAAAGCCAATCGATCGTCCACAGCTCTGCACATGTTGTGGAGGATGTTGTTGCGCCTGTTGTGAAGACCAGCTACGTTTCAGCTCCAGTGGTGAAGACCATTCACTCTGCTCCTTTGGCTTACACCTCTTACGCCGCTGCTGCCCCAGTTGTGCACAGCTATGCTGCAGCTGCTCCCATCGTAAAATCGTACGCCGCCTCTCCAGTTGTGCACAGCTATGGTGCTCCATTGGCTTATGATGCTCACTACTCATCCTGGTAAACGGCTCACAAGGAGAACAGAAATGGACAAAAGATTTTGTACTTGGAATGTGATATAACGAATAACTTAGTATTTTGTTTTTAGAAAAGAACGTTGTTGACTTTAAAATCGACGATGTGTTAAATAAATTAGTTGATTGAAAAAATTAAGAAATATCTTTGTTTTTAAGACTTCCAAATCGCTTAGAAGGTTACGACACTAATTTAGAATTAGAAAAGGATTCAGTTTACAGCGCAAAATTTTTTTCAATCAGTTCTTGGATAATAAAACTTGCAAATCTCAAAGTGCGCTTTTCTACTGTGAGTGGAGTAAATGCGGTTCGGTAATTCGTTTGTGAAGTCCTATCTCAAACCATTATTTTCTGCAAATAAACAAATTAAAACAATCCAATCGAGTTCCGTGATATCTTTCCTGGCAGCTTAACAATGTATTCTCAAATTACTGAGCCAGATCATTTAGGGGCTGCTGAATCGACTACTCATGCTTATAGCGGACTTGGATCGGCATCGACCGCAACTGGGCTATCGTTTCATGGGCAATGTGGCAAGTGGCACCATCCTGTTGAAACCACATATTGTCCACGAAGAGCAAGGAAGGGATCTTAGAAAAATAAGGCCTTCACGACGAAACTTCTGAAAATGGATTGAGACTGATTGACTTCACAGGAACATGATAGAATATAGGCATGTAGGTTCCAGCATATGATGATCCACCAAATCGATCATTTTGTCATAGAAAGAAGGCTCGCTTCCAGTGTTTTAGACGTGTGCTAGATTCGAGTACCAAACATCGACGTAGAGCACTTTTTTGTTGCAGACAATTTGTTAAAAATTTGCGGCCAGCAAAACAAGGAAAGCTTAACGAGACCACTCCTCAACCAATCGGTATACGGAAGTGGGCAAAGGATACACATTTCCCACGCATTTTGTATCACCACCGAAGAAGTCGTCGCATTTGAGCGAACCCAAAAGATGGCATCTACTTATTACTTATCACTTATTAATTAGTTATTTTCACAGCATTAAATACTACGTACCACTCCGCAGGACCTGGGTTCATTCCCTGGTATGAGCAACATCTAAATTAGGAAAAAGTTGTTTTACAACAGCGATCGTCCCTTCTGTCAGGAAATAGATTCTCATAAAATCCATTTGTCGTTCCGCGTAAAATTGTGCCCACAAATTGGAGGTGAAGATCGGAAAAACAGTTAACAAAACTGTAGTTAGTTTCACCTAACGAAACACAGTTTGAAAAAGTACGTAGATACTTTGGCTTCACTATATACTTACTGAATAGCTTAGTTCTTATGACTTGATTTAGTATTAAATACTTGCTCTTTAGCTAGTATGAAAAAAAGAATTTTGGGATTTTCGCGACTTTTTTATGTCTTTGGGACTACTTCGGTATTTTCGGAACTGTTTGGGACTTTCAGCACTATACCGGGGTTTTTGGGTCTTTGGGGCTACTTTAGATCACAGTATTTAGCAACTCCTGTCTGCCGAGGACTGCCCGTTATTAGAAGAAACCTTTTGTTTGGATATTGCTCGGAACAGAAATCGAACCTAGATCCCAACGGGTGGAAGAAGGCAGCTCTAACCACTCGGCTATGGCGAACGTCTTGAAGCAAATACGGCTGCTGAAAATGACCTTCAGAAACATCACCAGCTCAGTAAAAATTTGATGATTAACCATTTTTCATACAAGGCGATAAAAGCCGCAGAACTAATTCGCTTAGCATTGGAGGCGTATGCCCCTGACATCGACCTCATTAGCCAAGTTAGATATGGAACCACAACGAATAAGTCTAGTGGTAAAGAAGGACTAGACGAAGTATCTGCTGTCATGAAGCAAACACTTTTTAGTCCAGAATATCTTTGTTAGAAAATTGAGATCTTCAATATTATTTTCCTTTCAAGTTTCCTTCACTGCGCTTGTAAGTAGTCGTACAAATTAACTTTAGTTCGATCACATTTTCATTGTTACAATATTAAGCATTAACATTTCATTTGACACTAAATTTTCACTTGACTCGCAATCTTGTACTAGTATGTAGTATTCACTTTTTAAGCGCCCATGCATCCCAATCCTCATAGGCTACACTTGGCTTCCAACCTGAACTCCAACCACCATAAACACTCTTCAAGCTGGGCGAACTCCAGCCATCATATAAACCCAAGTGTTCTGATGATGGATACACAGATGCATATGAAACTGGCGGCCATGCGACGCTTGTGCTGGGCGTATACGTCTTGATAATGGGCGAGTAGGTCTTCACAATGGGCGTGTATGTCTTGATGATTGGCGTATGCTCCACAATGGGACGCAGGTAGGGACGTTTCTCGTGTACAATCGTTTGACTCTGATGCGAAACTGCGGTGGGCACGGAGTGTACGGTGTGTCCTACAACGGTGGGCGTGTATTCCACATGCTCTGCTACACTTGGTAGATATTTTAGACTGGGACGGGCTTCAGTGACAACCAGCGCGAGGATGGTGGCGAGTAATACAGGCTGTGTAGAAGAAGGGGATTCATTTATTAAGGATGTATTAAAAAAATGCAAAAATTATTTTTTCACTTTGTGTTGAACTTACAAATCTCCTCATTTTGATCTCGTTTCTTGGTAATGGTGCTAATGTGACTGCTGCCGGAAAACTGTGCCAAATTTGGCTGTCGTCTTCTATTTTATATTAGTAAATAGCTTGGGCGTTTTTTCAAAGCATGTAAATAAAATTTTGTTTTGCTCTTTCCTCGTAGTAAGAAGTTTTTGAAAACATAAAAAACTCTGATCTACTACAACAATACTACACTCCACATCACAATGGAACCATAATTTAGCAAAATGCGTAAAGCAGTCTAAGAGAGTCTAGCTGATATAGCGCGCCAAAAGACGCTGTGCACTGAAGAGGAACAAACGACTTCGCACAACTCCCACAATTTATTTGTATAGTTGTAGGTCAGCAGTGTAACTGACCAAGTTAACAAATTAGTAGCTGTGAAGCTACTTATAACAAAAGAAAAAGTCGCATGAAATATTTTTATTGAAGACGAGCGAGCAGCAGACAGTGGCCAGTTAGCACTTAGAGGCGTATAATAAAATGTGTGTGAATAACCTTCTGTCAAATTTGTAGTAGCATTAATTTTAATTATAATTATGTATATTACTGCACTAATATTAAATACAAATTTGCTCATTTGCTTACTTCATCTTAATTTAATTGCAAAAATACAATGTTTTACTTCCTGGAATTTTTTTTAAGTAAATCTAAAGTACGCACCACACTACTGAACTCAAACCTTTGCCACAAATAATGCCTATGTGTTCTATGAGGCAAGAAATTAATAAATATATACATATACAGGGCACATTTAGAGAAGGAGCGCACGTTGACGAGCCCTTATCAAAGCGGGACAGTAGCACGCTTTCGATTTCCTCCTCATCGCGGTAGCTACGACAGTAATCGTTTGGCTGCAAACCAATCCTGGCAGCGTGGGTTCGCATAAGGCAGTGCCCGGAGAGAATTCCAATAACATGGTCGCTCCAAATGGAAGAGTGGGCGAAATCTACGCTAATCTAACCTAAGCCAGATGTGTCTCGCTATCCTGCACGTGGGCTCCGCAGACCATCTTGCATTTGCCCGTTCGATAAAGTTATTCTGCAGCCAGAGTTTACGAGAAGACAGCGGAGTTCCCGCATTACGAGCGGTACTGATCGCAGACAGAAGGGTTCCTTCCCGAGCCAGCTCGTCCGCAACACAATTGCCCGGTATGCCCTTGGGCCCCCATACAATTTGAGTAGAGTAACAGCTTGCCAGCTCATTTAGAGTGCGTCTACATTCTCAATTAAGTGCTCTGATAGCTGCCTGGCCTATCAGAAATGATAGTTACCGCATGTAGATAAATAGGAGAATCTATCAGCCACAGGTAGAAAATGGAGCAAGGTCTCTAGGGCTTTAGTCGGCGTTGGGCATGCAATTTAAGAATTTAGTCGTAGAACGCTCTATGTAATACTTTGATTTGAAAAGGACCTATCTCAGAATTTGGTTAAAGAACGCCCTGTCTCAACAAATGGTTCAAAGACGCCCTAACCCAGCAGAAGATATATTGAATTTGCATTGAAACAGGGCGTTCTTGGAAAATTTGCTGAGTTAGGGCGTTCTTCAACCAAATGCAGGATTGGGCATTTTAAAACCAAATTTTGATCGGCTGACAAAAGCACAAAAGTCCAAACTAGAAAATGTTTTATCTATTTTGTAACTATATTTGTTATTAACTAGTTAATTGGTAAATGCATATGTAACATTGAAAATCTTCTCACCATGTAATGCGCTGGCATTTTCGAGTTAGGCTATTATCTAAAGGCGACACAACAGCGTTTAACATTTAATGGATATTGGATTTTTAATTATATGGCATTACGGTTGGCATGCTTGAGGCTCTCCGTATTCACTGCTTTAATTTTATGTTCCATTCTGGTCTTGGTTTTTAATGTTCAATAAGATCTCTTAATCGTTTGTCGGTTGAACTGACTTTTTTACATCTACATAATGATAGTAGATACATAGCATGCACGATGTGTGTACATACATATGTATGTATTGACGAGAATGTCTGAACTATTAGCTAATAAAGTACAAAAGAGAGTGCTATTAACTAAACGAAAGTGAATTAAGAAGTGATTCATGATATTGATTTTTTTTGTTGACCAAAGCGTGCAGAATGAACAAAATATAGGCAACCTTGAACTTGAGTAAAAACTGGGAGTTAGAACTTTAACTTAAAAACAATTTTATCAAGAGTGAAAAAGATTCAGATTTTTAGCTAAAGCTATTTTCTTTTCACATCATTATCAAAAATTTCTCACATACCACTGTATAGACACATTTCGCTAAATGTTCGCAGGGCATCATTGAACTCTAAAACTCTGTAAATCACTTTTCGTTCTTCCGTATATCATTCGAAAAAGCAGCGTACCTCACTATTGTTTTTTTTTTCTTCACACATTCGCGCACAAGCTGAACGCTTTTGAAACTCGTCGGTTAACGTATTAAATCAAAGTAACCGTACAAGTTGTGTGCGAATGTTTGAAGATGAGC